GACGGAGTGGTCCAGGCGCCCCCGAAGTTGACTCACTTTCTTATACCTACGCTAAAAAGGGAGCTTTTGATCAGTGGTGCTCATGTTTGAGCTCGTCAGCATTGCCTGGAGAACTCGTTACAATACAGATGGGTCCCGGGGCCCAAGAATTAGCATCACTTCTTCCCACGTGCGGCTGCGGGTTGGGGCCCACACTGAGACCGCTGGCTTGGATCGCTGCTCTAATTGGATCCCTTGCCAAAAACCACAATGTGTTGGGGAGGGTCCCAGCAGGAAACAGAATCCCCCAAATGCTCCAAGTGAAGGCGCTTTGATGAAAAAGTCCTTATAGAGGAATGGGAAGGGCTAAGAGAATTTGAGGTCCCCGAAGGCTGGCAACAGAGGGGAGCCGTTACTAGCCTTGGGTGGGCAGGAAAAAGGGTGGGAACAGCCAAGCCGCAGCTGCTTGGCTCCCACAACCCTTGGGAGCTGTGGTCAAAGTAAGAAAATGAAGTCTCTGCCAGAGAAGGGGAACAAGACAGGGAGCAGGGCAGAGAAACACTGACTTTCCTCCCCACCCCACCCCCCATTTCTAGCTGGTGCCCTTCTTTGTTCATACAGAGGGTGGGGGAGCCTGGGGGTACAGTCCTAGGAGTCAGGGCCCTTGGGGGCACAGAGCAGGTCAGAGAGGAGCTGAGAGCAGTGGGAAGGACAGGAGAGGATGGAGCTGATGGAGACTCACCAGCTCAGAAGGAAATTGTCTAAATGTCCTTCAAGTCTGCCTAGGAACTGCTGGAGATCCTGAGCCCTTTCCGGGACTTTAAACAATTGACAGGTGATAGAAAGTTGTTAAGGACCCATTAGCACCAAAGAGGGACTCTTTTGATTGAGGTGATAAGAATTTTAAAAATAACAGAGAACTGAGTAGCTTCTTCACTTTTTGACTCAGACAATTTCGTGTTGTGGTGAGACATGGTTCCCTGGTGGGAAGCCCAGATATGTGGATGGCACCCCCCAGTGTTACCCACTGGGGGTATTGAGCAGTTCACATCAGGCTCTGGTTGGGGGCTGCCGCTGGGGGTGAAGGGTGGTGTCTCCCCTCCCATCCCCAGTCCAGCCTGCTGTAAAGGTGGGTGAAGGTAGGGGGTGGGCTCTGGGGACTGGGGTAAGCACAGGGGTGCAGGAGTCCATGTGCCAGCAGGGGGCAGTGTGCACAGAAGCATTGCAGGAGGGACGGGTGGGGCACCCACCCAGTCGCCTTCACAGCCTTCGCCCCACCACCCCTCCCCGAGTACGGATGTTCCTGTGGATCTGTCTCCCACCCTTTGCTCTGAGATGTCGTGAGTGCCCACGTCTTGCCAATGCCCGCACCTTTCTGCCCGGACTCCGGCTACGTCCTGGACAGCCCTTTGGAGGTCCTGCAACTAATGTGGACCCTTGTTGTCTTTTTGCCTTAGCATCACCTCATTCTCCATGAAGAACGTTCACCTTCTGCCTCAGTTGCCCAAGCAGGGCACGTGGCCCCACTCTGGTCTCCTCCCTGTTCCTTTGCCACCACCTTCGTGGTCAGAGTCCCCCAAGCCCATGCCTTGGAAGTTATCGGGCTCCCCGCTTGTCCTCACCTCTTGCCGTTGCCATGGCAGCCCACCTCCAGCAGGTCGCCCCACCCACGCAGCCTTCCAGACCCTCCTGACGGGGGGGCCTTCCCTTGCTAAGACCCTGAGGACCTCACTGCCTAAGTCTCATGGGTCAAGCGCACCTTCCACAGCCTGGCTTCCGGTGTCCTCAAGACCTGTCTGCTCTTCCTTGTGACTTCTTACCCCTCACGCCCCCCACCTCGACATCTGGTGGGATCGGGGAGGATTGAAGTCTACCCTTCCCCCATCCCACTGGGTGGCCACCCTCTTGCAGGAATCCGGGTTCAGGAATATCTGGAATGCCAGAGATTGTGGAGATGAGAGCTGTGGCCAGGGAACCCTGTGCCCTCCAACCCAGGCGGGGCCCCTCTGACCCACCCCAGGGTGGAGAATGATATGATTTCAGTGTGGCTCCTGGAGTCAGAGAAGCCTGCGTTCGAACCCAGGCTGTACCACTTCCTAGCTGTGCAGGATAGTTGCTTAGTCCCTCTGATCGGAATTTGTTCCTCTGTAAAGCGGGTGCCGCCTCACTACGTCATACGGGCGTGGGGAGGTTAATAGGTGAATGCTAGTGTCTGAGGTCAGCCTCCTTTAGAAGCAGACACTGAGATGAGGATTTACATGTAAGTCTGTACAAAGGAAATGCCCCAGCGGAGAGCGGTAAGGGAATTGGGGGAGGCAGGACAGGGAAATAAATCTGGAGAGAATAAGAACTCTGAGTAAGCCTAACCAGGCATCAGAGAGACTGGTTGGTGCCTGTTTCCCCACAGCTAACTTACTTATTTTCTGGGCATCTCGGCCTCTGACGCCCCATCCCAACTCTCAGCGCATCTGAAAGAGCAGAGCTGCATGCTGCTGTGAGGGGAGGGGGGAGGTGGGAGGGATTGAGGCCTGGCCCTCAGCCCATGTGGACAGGGACAAGAGCACCGCCCCCAGGGGGTGGGGAATAGGGACTCTCTGGGGGAGGTGCTGAGTCAGTAAGCAGCACAGTGGTGAGGGGCGGCCTCCACTTGCCACCAGGGCAACGGCAGCTAGGGGGGAAGGCTGCTGGGAGGGAGGCCAGGCTTCCGTGGGAGCTGCCCCCCTCCTGGTGTGGCTCAGCTCGCCCCACATCTCCTGCCTTCCTCCCTGCTGCCTTGGTGGGCCTTGGGCCAGAGAGGGGCCTCAGAGGCTATAAGTGTGCCTTGCCAGGGGGTGTTTTAACAACAGCCGGGCTGCCAAGAGCACATTATTCTCTTACAGAAATCCAAGGGATTGCCCAGGAGATGTGATATTTTTGTAGCCAAAAAAAAAAAAAAAAAAAGAGAGAGAGAGAGAGAGAGAGAATTTCTCCACAGCTCTGAAAGCCTGTTGTGATAGGAATGATAGTGGGTGTTTCAGAATCTGGATTCTTCATCAGGGAGCAGATAAGGACTGAGAAATTTCTGTCCATTGCCTTCATTCACTAAATAGTATATATTAGATGCCCCTAGCACGTTCCCAGTAGAAGGAACAATTTTTATAAAGGCAGAGAGGTAGGAAGGACATGTTTGACAGGTTTGGAGAACAGACTCTTTGTTGTAAGGGATAGAAATTCCACCTCAGACTGGCTTAGGCAAAGACAAGGACTTAAATGGTTCATGTGATAGAAAGAACAAATAACTGGGAGCTTCAGGCATGGCTGGATCCAGGGCCTCAAACAATGTCATAGGACACTATCCTCCTCCACCACAGCACTGCCTTCCTTGGCACTGGCCCTGCATTTAGGAAATCCCTTGCCCTTTGGTGACTCTGTCAGCTCCATCCTTATACCCTCCCAGGCTCAAACCTAGTAGAAAGAAAGGAATTTTTTTGCCAATAGTTCCAGTGAAAGTCCTGTGACTGACTCTCATTGAACTGACTTGGGTCATACGTCCATCTCTGGCTGGTCAGGCCTGGTCCATAGTCCCTTCTCTAAAGCTTGGGTCTTGTTCTAACAGTGATTAGTGTGGCTTGAAAAGTAAGTCACCAGATGTGTTACATTTTCTTCACCCATCCTTTTTCTCAGAAATCTTATCTGCTCCCACAATTGCATTTCTCTTATCTTGACCCTTGACCTCACTCAAGCGCCCCTGGGCTCCATTTCCTGGGGCATGGTGGGGACGTGTCTCTCCCACACAACAACAATAATATTGCACAAATTGAGCTGTCACTAGATGCTAAGAACAAGCTCTTCACATTGCTGTCTAATGGAATCCTCACAGCACGACAACACTATGAAATAGGTGTTATTATTATCCTTGTTTTATAGGTGAAGAAACTCAGGCATAGAGAGGTTCATTCCCGAACCAATGACTAGAGTCAGGGGGGTCCTGAACCTCCAATTGACTGGATAGGAATCATGTCCCTGAAAGTGGATCCAGGATGTGTCAGCTGCAACTGAACTACACAGACGTAGAGAAGGGAAAGGACACTCCAAATGAAAGGCTTATGGTGTTGGTTGCGGCGGGGGTGTTGGGGGGGTGGAAGAAACAGAATATGCCCCCTACACTAGGTGGTAGATGATGGCAACCCAAATTGGAAAAATTGGGGAGAAAAGGGAGCTGTGCTAGCACAGGGAAAACAAACACTTGAGGAGCCAAACCACTGGAAGGGCAGAGGTGCCGTGAGCCTTCAGGAACAGCTAGAACCGGGCGCTGTCATAAGGCTCACACTCTCATCAGAGCTGGTCTTCCCGGTCACTTCTGCGTTTCCAAGCGCGGACTACTAGGGAAGGGCTCTGATTGGTTGATCTTAGGTCACGCGATCACACCGGACCAATCAATCCCAGGAAGGGAGCCTCTCCCTTTAGAACATGGCTGCTTCCAGGACAGCCACGAGGTTGAAGGTATGGCAGGAGCTCTAGTGGTTTCTAGAAAAAAGTGGAGTAAGGTCAATGAAAATGTAGGAGTATGCTCGTAGCTGCAGGCGACAGAGAACACCGCCCTGACCAGTTTAGCCACCGGGAAGCCCTCGGGGCTGGGGATTGGCCCGCTGATGTCACCCGCCCGGCACTCAGCTCCGAAAAGACAGTGTCCGCTTCATCCTAAGGCAGGTGCCTTCCGGGCCATCAGACAGCTCCCGCCGGGAGCAGTCATCTAGCAGATGAGGAAAGAGACCCTGTTCAGCTGCAGGACGGAGGTTCCTCCCTCCTGTCAGAAGGGGTCCCGCACTCCCTCGAGAACCTCGGGCTCCCACTGACTTGGGCTTGGGCACCTGAGCCAGTTCTGGGGACATGGCCGTGATCCGCTGTGTCATCAGGACGCACCCTAGAACTGCCGTCCTCGTCTGGGTTCTCCAACCGATGGGCGTGGGGTGGGAGGTACACCAGGCGGGGCCACCCTGCTGGGTTCCTCATCTCACGGCCGCTCTGGCCCTGTCGTGCAGGGGTCCTGTGGCTGTCGGTGGTCTCCGAGGTGCTCTATATTCTCCTGCTGGTGGTTGGCTTCAGCCTCATGTGTCTCGAGCTCTTTCACTCCAGCAATGTCATCGACGGGCTCAAGCTCAACGCCTTCGCAGCTGTCTTCACGGTGCTGTCAGGTAAGGGGGAGGGCCTCAGGCAGTGGAGCCTAGCCCTGGGCTTTGGACGGAATGGACTGTGGGTGCAGGAGCTGCCTTGGAGCTGAGGCTTGGCTGTGCCCCGCCCCCTCACCCTCCAGCTGGGTGACCTTACACCAGTCACTTCTGTTCTCTGAGCCTCTGTGTTACAGTTCGTAAAATAGGATTTATCTGCTCACTTATTCACCTTTGGTGGTTATTGAATATCTATCACGTGCCAGGTGCTGGGCTAATCATAAGGACTGGGGTTTTAGAAAGGGACATTTGCAGCTTTCGTGGCGTTTCCTATGTGCGGGAGAGAGAGGTGGATTGGCCAGAGACATATTCAGGAGCTGAACATCTTACGGCCCGTGATGGATGGTATTTGCGGGACAAGGCAGAGAGAGGTGCCTTATGAGAATGAGTGGATGATGATGTCTTCCATAGGGATATGAAGGGGGGGGGCCCTTTGGGGGCAGCAGGCCCATCACTCATCTGCTTTAGTTTATGTGCCTCTGAGACATTCACATGGAAGCCGAGGGAGCCAACACTTCTGGAAGCTCAGGGACTAGCATGGGGGTGGGCAGAGACGGTGCAGAAAAGCCCCAGAGCCGGGGATTTTGAGGGCTTTAGGGAGAATGGGTTGGCCAGCCTTGTGATAGGACTCAGGGAGGTGGAGACAGACGACTCCAAGAAAAGGCCACTGGATTACGTGGCCAGGTGTCCAGAGTTTTTTCAACAGATCCAGGTTAGGAGGGGTTAAGCAGGGAATGTGCCAGAGGGAGTAAAAGGAGCCTAGGAACCATAACTTCAGGCAGCCTGACAGATATAGTGGTGGCTTGGCTGTGTAAGATATCTGTTCCTAAAAAAGCCAAATGTAAATTGAATTTCTATAAGTCTAATCCCATTCTTCATGCATTGGAAGAACCCTCTATTTAATGAAACTGAAACGATGAGCCTTTTGGTAAAGGAAATAATCTCCCCCTAATTGAAGTGTGTGTATCTAACAGAGGGACCCCTCAAAGATCGAGAGCTGAATTCAAGAGATTACAGCACACCCCACAGATCAAAACACGCGTGACTTGGCATTCTTGGGACGTGGAAATCTAACCATCACAGGAAAGGAAAGCAAAGAAAAAGAGAGTGAGCTTCATGGCGTAGTGTCCGTTTTGGGTCCCGCTCACACCATTCCTAGCTATCGAACCGTGGAGTATTCTGGACCTATTTGTTCTTTTTTTTCCTCCCTCCATCCTGTAGTGATTTACTCAATATTAGAAGAAGGCCTGAAGGACCAGGTACTGGAGGTTTGGGGGAGTCAAAGGAAAAACGACTGCATCTTCACCCTCCTGAAGTTTGCAGTCTTGTGAGAGACAGCCTCATCAAACAATTAGAAAATAGTGGGTTGATCTCTGTGTACCGGGCTCAGGGTGGGGGATGGGGGATGGGGATGGAGAAGGCATCCCTTTGAGCTGACACTTGGAAGAAAACATAAGAGTTTCCTTCATGGACAGCTTGGGGAAGGCATTCAGGATAGAGGGAACAGCATGGATAGAGGCCTAGTGGGGTGGCATATTCTGGAAACTCCGTGTTGTTCAGAATGATGGGAAGGCAGAGTAGAGAGAGCGAGAGAATCAAGAGATAAGGCAGGAGAGTTGGCTGACGGAGGGTCTTGGTGCTTTGCCATGATCTTCAGATTTTCCCCTGGAGACGACAGGGAGACATCAAGAATCCGGAGCAGAGGGGCTATGGTCAAATGTGCATTTGGGGGTGAGGGCTCTGGCTGTGGCAAGGATGGAGTGGAGCAAGAGTGGAGGCGAGGAGACTGGCCAGGAGGTGAGAGAGGACGCAGGGGCGGTGGGAACAGGCACACCCACCCTCTGTCCGGCTAGGAGGTGAGGTGAGCAGGGTTGCAGACTGCTCGGGAGAGCTGGCTGGATGGGTATGGAAAGCAGAGGACCCAGGGCAGCTTCCTAGCTTGGAGTCCACAGAACTCAGGGGGTCCATGAGCCGGGTGGGGGCTAATGTTCCAGCCTTAGTTCTTGAACTTGTAACTGACATGTAGTAGGTCCTTCAGCAGTGAATGGAGACAACAGAACTCCGTAGAGGGGAGCGCCCGCGGTGTCGTCACCAGTAACAGTCTGTGTTTTGGCTCTCCTGCAACAGTTGCGGCAAGTACCTTGAGGTGCGTTCATTCCAAAGTGAAAAGCTTACTAGAGCTTTTGCAGAATGCTGTTACCTAGGGTGTTAATGAAGAAGACAAATATTCCAGTGCCGCACACCTGTTTGAATGTTTTGCTAACTAGATTTCCGTAGAGCTCTCTCAGCCTATGTGTTTTACTTTAGGCAGCCAGAAACATGATTCTGAGGGGGACTCTGCAGGTCCAGACGGCCAGAGCCTCTGACCCGGGATCCCCTGGCTGGCTTCTGGCTGGCTTCCGGCCAGGGATGGGACGAGCAGTGGATCACCGAGACGGGGAAGGTGGGAAAAGAGCAGGTAGTGGGAGGTGATGGGTCTGGTTTGAGCAGGTGGGCTGTGACACGCAGGTCCCTCTCCCTTGGTGGCAGTTTCACATTTTCTTTCCCCGCTCCAAGCTCGAAGAAAATCCCCTCCATTATCCCAAGCAGCCAGCCCTCCCCCTCCCCCTGCGCCCTCCAGTCACACAGTAAGAGCCGGTGGACAGCCCGAGAAGGCATTTCCAGGTCTACACGCAGACCTCTCATGGGGTAGGAGGTGCGGGCTCTTCCCCCGCCTCAAAGGGCTTAGCAAAGTTTTCGCCCCTCAAAACAAAGCAAAAAAAAACCCAGAGCCCCACTGCTAAAGAAAATAAGATTGTCTGCCGTAATTTCAGACAGATAAACAATGCAGGGCTCACGGAGGTTAATTGAGTTGCCCACAGTCACACAGCTGGTCAGTTGTGGAGCCAGGATTAAACCCGGCTCCTGCTGGCCTCAAAGCCCTGTGTTCTTTTCATAGGATCGAGCGGCAGGGGTGACCGGGCTGGAGGGAGAAGACTTTCAAGTCTTCAGAAAACAGTAACTAAGAAGCATGTGTGAGCCAGATGATGTCAGAAGACCGAAGTAGCCAGTGGGGGAGAGAAAGGATTTTGTCTTCATGCCTGGGAGAAGGTAGACAGGCAGGCAACAGGACACCAGCAGAGAAGCTACCCGGGCCCGGAGCCCCTGCCCTTTCTGGAGCCACTTGAGAACAGGGCAAGGGGCGAGGAAGGCCCTGGAGGAGAGGGGTGGGCTTCCAGCTGGCTCTGATGGGAGGCGAAGGATTGGGCAAGCCCATTGACCGAGCCCACGGGAGGGGGCAAGGGCTGGGCTCTGAGGCTGCCAGACCGGCTCACACAGAGGGGTCCTCAGCCCAAGGTCAAAGCCTTCTAGGATAGAGGGGAAAGCAGACTTGGGGCATCCCCTACTTAACCCAATTATTATAACCAGTTATGACAACGAACCAAGTGATTCTGATGGCTCATAAGAGCCAGCGCTGGCTGAGATGCCAGGAGCACCGGCACTGGGCTCGGCCTGCCACGTGCTGTCCTTGCGAGGAGGGGCTAGCACAGCGCGCGTCCCCTGTTGCCTGCAGTCACGTCCCTGGTAATTTGTTAAACCCCTGGCCGAGCCTGCCGAGCCTGCCGCATAAGGCGCTTTGAGCGGGGGGGGGGGGGACTTCAGCTTGTCCTGTTGTTGTTCCCAGCTGTCTTCCAGTACATCGAGGGGCGGATCGCGGCCCAGGGACCAGTCCTGTCCCAGTGAGGCAGGGGGCAAGGGCATCATGCTCTCCAGTGAAGGGAGACAGGCTGGCAGGGCCCTCCAGCAGGGCTGCATTTCTGGCAGAAGGTGGTTGTACAGATGGGGTTCGGCCCCGAGGACTGGGGGCGGGGGCCGTGGTTGCTGGCCCACTGGCCTGGGGCCTAGAGTTCTCAGTACTTCTAGGGACCCACAAAATGTTTTCAATTTGACTGCTTTTCAAAGCAACAGAAGAAAAATTAATGCAATAATAATGAAGACCTAAGAGTGAATCTAGATTGGATCATAATTGTCTTTCTACCATTGCAGTCATAAAGTGTGATTTTTAATATTTCTTTTATGGAGGAACAGGCCCGTGGAGACAAACGTGCATGGGGCCCATGAAAGTCATGACGAGGCCCTGCAGCAGGCCACATCTTTCCTGGGGCTCTCAGGACCGGGCAAGACCCAGTTCTAGACCAGGGGTGGCTCCAGCTGCCTGTGGCCCCTTGCCAGGTCCTGTGACTTTAGCCAAGAGGTGCTGGAGAAGACGGAACTCCCTGAGTTTCTACCCCCAGTGACCAGAGTCTTAGAGCCCAGAAGGAATGTGAGAGCAGGCTGGAACATGTCTGTTCTTCCTCAATTCCTCTGAAGAACGAGACCGATCTACTTAGGAAAAACACAGTCATTTGGAGACTCCCCGTGCAATCCAGCCAACTGTGGGCTTTTAGTAAAAGCTGCTGCGGCGTGGAGAGAAACGTGACCATTTCTGGGAAATAAGCAGACCTCATGGAGAAGGCAGTAAGAGTATTTCGTTAAGCAATGAGAAAAAGGAAATTTTGTGGTAAAACAAAAAATCACCAAGGCAAGGTTGCTGTTTGGAATCGGGTTTCAGGAACCCTTTTCAGAATGAGGTGTGGACCGAGGAACAAGCAGCTCCATGGCCGCCAAGGTGGACATCACAGTGTGCTTCAGGCAGAGGTTGGGGGACCTTGGAGTTTCTCTTAGTGCGGCAATTGTAACTGTGTAGGATGAGTTTCTTGATACCCTAATTCTTGGGTCTATGCTGAAAGAATCCCACATGGATAATCCTCTCTGTTCAGTCTCCCTGCCCTGGTCAGACTGGGTCTCTCACCTATAACTTAGAAAGCAAGTACTTTTGTGTATTTTTGCATCTAAAAATGAATAGGGTCTGAGTTAGAGAAATATGTATTTCTATATTATTAAAGATTCTTTTTATTGCAAATGACAAGAACCCAGTCATACTAGCT